AATAACAAGTGTAATATCCACTAAAGCAAAGCTTAAGTATATAACACCAACACACCCTTTGTTCCCTAGGACACTTGTGCTTACTTGACAGAGTTTTAATGATCATTGTGTCTTCATTCTGAGCTTTAGAGGCATAAACTAACCAAGGACAAGATTCATGTTTACACCTAACTTGGACCTTATTTTTATCATTAATTTTAAAAGATATGTCCCTTCCTTGTTTAATTGCATGTTGTCTGACTGCTTTTTTGAAAGTGGCAGTATCACTAAATTGCATTCCTAGTTCAAAAGCAGGGTTGACCATGTCTGTACTAGGATCAGAAACAGGACCACCATTATGTAGTTTAGATGAGTTATTCGGCTTGCTACTTTTTCTCTGCAGGTTAAGGTATTTGCACTTCATTATTCAAGTCTACCCCAGCCCATTCAACCTCTTGATCAACATGCAAGTCAAACAACTCATCATCATCAGAAGCTCGTTCACATTCACTATCCAAGAACCTTTCAGAAAAATTAGACTCTGGCCCAACAGATTGATCATCATCAGTTTCATTTAAATCAGATAGCACCACATTAACATTTAAATCTATGTTTTCTGCATTCTTACCAACAAATTGTAAAGGTTCATCTACTGTTGGTAAATCATGAGATGGACTACCCACAAAATCTTTCATCCACTGACTATCTTGATCCACCATTTTTTCATGCTCAACAAAAACTCCAACCATTCTATTGACATCAAGAAATTTCACCATATTTAGGACATCAGAGTCATTTTCAAGCACCATTAAATCAGAACAATCATTTACCCCACCTTTACTGCAATGAAAACCAAAGACTTTTTTCATTCCTACTTCATAAAACATACACTTCAGTTCAAGTAATGATAGCTCATCAACATTGCAGTCATCTATATGAGCAACATCACCACCCAAATAACATATTTTTCCCAAATTTACAAACATACCAGAATGGTGCAATCTGATAGTGAATAACTCGGATGAAGAGGAACAATCTCTGTCGGGGGCATCGCCATTGTCACCCTCTTTTCGAACTTTCCAGCCCATTTGAGTATTTCAATCTCTAAAATCATAAAATTTGAAGGGGAATTTGGGAATTTCGGAGTTGAGATTTTAGGGATTTGAATGTTAGGGTTTGAAGAAGAATGAAAATGGGAAATTGGGGATGCGAGTTAATAGAGGTTTAACGGGAGGGTTGAGTGGGATGGTGATGAAAAAAATGCGTAAAGTTCAAGAGGCAAAGTTATGGAAAAATAATGTTTAGGAGGCAAAGTGAAAAAAACCGTACACTTGAGGAGGCAAATAAAAATTTTCTCAAAAATCTCTTTCACCCCAGTACAAAGACACATTAAGTTTTTACACTGCCTAATAAAAAGCTAGTTTTTCACC